GAACCTAAACTAAACACTATCAACAACGATTAAGGGTCGCACGCACGTTCTGGTGGTAGCATCGTAGGTGAGCTGGGGCAACAACCATGCATCGATACATTCAATTGATGGAGTAGCTACACCATGATTTGTCTTAGACACATCCGCCAATGCCTGGGACACCTAGAGACATACGCGTGTTGCAGGTCGGTCATTCGGAAGCTATTCAAACGCGCGGTTAACGAGCAATCGCCGTGTCAACAACGCGGATTGTGCAATGCTCTAAACGTGCGACAATTGCGTCAATCAGAGCATGAAGTGCGTCTCCGGAATACTCCAACGCAAAATTCTGAAGATTTCGCAGCGCGTCTGCGCGTACGGATAAGCCACGGATTGCACACTCGCGCACAATGTCGCGAGGTAGGAATTCCATGTGCTGCGACCGATGGGGATTCGGATTAATCAATTCCGCCCGAGACAAAACGATTCCAGCCCCAAGCCGAGCCTGCCGTCACCTTCGGCGAGCGTCCGGTGCTGTGGCTCGCGCCGCGGCCGGCTCAGTGGCGAGGCGAAGCGAGCCAACTCCACCATGGGACTGAGACGATTCGCACCACAATCACCACAATTAAGCCACTCACCATGGAGCGCTTCTGGCGCGATGGGTGACGGGGTCGAAGGGCTTCGTGCGCGGCTTCGAGGCGTTCGCCGAGCGATCCGGGCAGCGAATCGCGGAGTTGCGCGCGTCGGGCCGCGGGGGAAAAGTATTAATTTAATTCAATATCGGCTCTGGCGTGATTTCCCCATGATATTAGGTTTTTTGTGATTTTCTCCGATGGCGTTGGCTCAGAATGATGTAATACTGCAATGTTCATGTGGTCCTCGGTTCCAAACGCCCGATGGTCGGATGAGCGCGCTCTTCCGCAGGAGATAGCTGCTCAAGCCCAAAGCTACAGAGCTTCGTGTGCAGAATGCAGGTTCGTAATCTGCAGAATATTTCACGCCTGGAGGCTTGTTTGCTGCGGGAAGGATTTCACGTTAATGTAAGTAATTTTAAGAATAAGCCAACATGCAAAGGACAACCATTTGGAGCTTTACTAGAACTGCAAGACTCTGAGCATTTGAGAGGAAATACACATATCCTCGCGCTAAGACTTCAATTGCTAACAAAAGAACCACCAAAAAAACCACCAGCGCCAGATGAAGAAGAACCAGCATCCAAGCGCGCTCGTCTCGTCACGTTTGCCGCCGAGAGAGGAGATATTATTTCGGAGGGAGAGCAGAAGCTGTTGACATTGCTATCGAACAACAAAGAACTGCTCGACTTGCCCAGCAGCAGGATAACCCCCCTCACCACATGGCGAGGTGGGCGGGTGGGTCCAAAGGCCTGATCTGGAAAATCTACAGTGTACTCGTGGGTACTTGTACATGACGTGCGCACGCGCGGTCATGACCCGCGGTGCCGCGGGTGACGGTCGCGCGGCACCTCGGCGACGTGTCTTCACGCCGCTATCGTCGTCCCTGGGCTAGCGCGGCTTCTCGCCCGGCCGCGGCGGCCCAAGCGGCGCGGGTGCCGTTTCGCCCGGCCGCGACAAACGCCAACTTGAAGGCAACTAACCGAAAAGGGAGGCCCCTGGTTGTTTGTCCAGGAGGTGCGTCGGTGGGTGGCGGGCACTCGATCGAAGAATTTGTCATGGGGTACCCCGACTTTTATCCCAACGGCTCTTGGCTGAAATTTTTTTTTTGCCCGTTTTCGGCCGTCAAAATAATTAATTGCCTCTTCTCCTGAACACACTTATATTTTTGCTCCAACGCACCCCACTGGGACTTTGCTACCAACCACGACAATTGGGCCAGCCGTCTTTAGGTTTTCCGCAGGCCTCCCCAGGCCCGCGTAGCTGGCGGGGTTATAAGATTTCAGTACATAGTTTCCCGCCTTCGCGGCTCCCTACGCGTGCCAGGGACGTCGTTACGAGCACGGAGAACGCGGGCAGGCAGTCCGCGTAGGCCTTAAGGTCGTGGACGACGTGGAGCGCCTCGCGGGACGGGAGACCGAGCTCGCGGACTTAACGGAGGATGCGGTCCCGGTACGCGAGCATCTTGAAGCTCGTCAGCGA